ATACAAAGCTCGTGTCGTTGCCAAGGATTTTACACAAACGTATGGGATCGACTACACCGAAACATTCGCTCCTGTGGCAAAGCTAAATACAGTAAGGGTCCTCCTATCATTGGCATCTAATTTGGATTGGTCACTTCACCAACTTGACATAAAGAATGCTTTCTTGAATGGAGAATTAGAAGAGGAAGTCTACATGGAATTACCTCCGGGGTTCAGTAAAGGGCAGGAAGAGAAGCAAGTATGTAAACTTAAGAGGTCACTTTATGGTCTCAAGCAGTCCCCAAGAGCATGGTTTGACAGGTTTGTCAGAGTAATAAAGAACCAAGGATATCTACAGGGACAATCAGATCATCTATGTTCTTCAAACAAGCCAAAGATGGGAAGAAGACAATCCTAATAGTCTATGTTGATGATATAATCTTTACCGGCGATAATGAGGCAGAAATGGAAAAGTTGAAGAGGATTCTCGCCACAGAATTTGAAGTAAAAGATCTGGGGCGAATGAGGTATTTCTTGGGAATGGAAGTTGCTAGATCAAAGAAAGGAATCAGTGTCTCTCAAAGGAAATATGTCCTTAATCTCCTCACAGAGACCGGTATGCTTGAATGCAAAACCAAGTGACACCCCAATTGAAGCTGGAAAGAAGACTGAAGATGCTGGAAAGCTGGTTGACAAAAACAGATATCAAAGACTAGTAGGCAAACTAATATACTTGTCTCATACCAGACCCGACATTGCATTTGCAGTAAGTGTGGTGAGCCAACACATGCACTCACCAAGGGAAGCTCATCTGGAGGCAGTTTACAAGATACTTAGATATCTCAAAGGCTCACCTGGCAGAGGACTATTCTTCAAAAAAATCGGCTGCAAGGGAATAGAAGTCTACACAGATGCAGATTGGGTTGGCTCGATTGAAGACAGAAGATCCACTTCAGGATATTGTACCTTTGTGTGGGGGAACCTAGTAACCTGGAGGAGTAAGAAGCAGAATGTGGTGGCTCGAAGCAGTGCCGAAGCAGAGTTTAGAGCAGTTGCTCAAGGAATATGTGAAGCACTATGGCTGAAAAAACTCCTAGAAGAACTTCAAGTCACAGTAGAGTTCCCAGCTAAACTCTACTGTGATAACAATGCAGCAATTAACATATCTCTTAATCCTGTCCAACATGACAGAACCAAGCATGTGGAAGTTGATAGACATTTCATCAAAGAGAAAGTGGAGAAGGGAATCATTTGCATGACCTACGTTCCTACTCAAGACCAAACGTCCAACATCTTCACCAAAGGGCTCATAAGACAAAAATTCGATGATTTCTTAAACAAGTTGGACTTGGACATGATAAACATCTATGATCCAACTTGAGGGGGAGTGTTGAAATCCCGGATTTTTAGGCTTAGAATCAGTTTTCGGATTTAGGATAAGTTGTTTCCTAATTTGATTTGATTCAGCAGATAACTTTCCTATTCTCTAGGCCATGTTTTTAAGAGATTTAGTTTTCACAATTGTATTATAAATAGAAGCCTTATGTACAGAATATTAATTGAATATAAAAAAATAAAGCATTACTCCTGCTTTCAAGATGCTTGTTTTTTCTTTCAGCCACCCCATTTTGTTGAGGAGTATCAACACATGAGCTTTGGTGAATAATGTCATTTTCCATAAAATACCCACCCAGAATGGACTTAAAGTACTCTCTCCCACTATCAGTACGTAAAATTTGTATTTTTGCACTGTACTGGTTGTTTACCATCAAATGAAAGTGTTTGAACGTTTGTTTAGCCTCGCCTTTTTCTTTTCGGAGATAAACCCAAGTAATTCGTGTGTGATCATCAATGAATGTGCTAAACCATTTTTTTCTAGTTACATTTGGTACCCGTGAAGGACCCCATATATCACTATGAATTAATGCAAATGGTTTGGATGATTTATATGGTTGAGAAGGGAAAACCGACCTTTGGTGTTTAGCAATTTGACAAACATCACATTGAAAAACATATTTATTTCAAAAAAGAGAGGGAAACAATTGTTTTTTATATTGAAAGCTAGGATGGCCTAACCTAGAGTGCCATAACATTATTTGTTGTTCTCTAGATAAAGAAATAAATTCACAACTAGCGGTCAAAGCTTGTTTATTGTTGGAGATTCCTTCCTCAAAGTAATAGAGACCATTGTCTTCCTTAGCACTGCCAATCGTCATGCCCGAAGTCATATCCTGAATTTACAAAATGAATGTGGGAACTGGGCAGTACAATTTAGGCCTTTGGTAATCTTGCTAATAGATAGTAAATTGCATGATAACTTTGGAACATGGAGCATCTTTGAGTGTTATTTGAGGACTAATATTAATGGTACCGATACCAGCCACCGTTGCAAGAGAACCATCTGCAATCTTAATTTTCAAATTCCCTAGACTAGGTTTATAAGAACAGAAGAGATTCGCACAACCTGTCATATGATCCGTAGCCCCGGAATCTATCACCCAGGGTTCAGTCATTTTAGATAAGCCGCTTAGAGCAGTCATGAAAGTACCTTTTTGGGCCAAAAGTGAGGTACCCGAGGCTGGCTGTGACTGCTGACCTTGGGCAATAGATTGATTCTGGTTGGATGATTGGGCATGTAGGATATGGGACAGCAGTTCCATTTGCTCCTTGCTTAGAGAGAAGTTGAAGTTGTTGTCACTAGTCCTTGATGTCGTATCGGTAGTAGCTTGAAGACCTCTAGAATCTTGTTGTCACTAGTCCTTGATGCCGTATTCGTAGTAGCTTGAAGACCTCTAGAATCCCTTCTATTGTTGCGAGTATCCTTCCAATTATCAGGTTTACCATGCAATTTCCAGCACTTATCCCGGCTGTGGTTTGATCTCTGGTAGTGATCGCACCAAAGACTGCCATTCTTCTTTTGACTCTGAGATTCCCCACGAGAGTTTTTAGGTCCGCGGGCTGAGAAGGCAGAATTCTCAGTTGTGGATTTTACAGTGCCAAGCATCACGTTTGCGAGTTTCTTCTCTACGAACATCAGCAAAAATGTCCTTAATACTTGGCAGTGGCTTAGAGCTAAGTAGACGCCCACGAACTTCATCCTCGTCCTTATTAAGACCCGAAAGAAAATCATAGATCCTTTCCTTGTTCACCATCTTTTGATAATTCTCAATGCATCCTGAACATAACCAATGACCATTATTAAATAGGTCTACTTCCTGCCATAATTTTGTAAGAGCATTGAAATAAGTCGTAACATCCATCTCGGCTTGAGTTAGATTGCGAGTCTTGTTGCGTAATTCAAACAATTGAGACGAATTTTCAAGGTTAGAATATTGTCTCTTGGCTGCCTCCCACATGTGTTTGGCAGTTGTGTAACACATAAAGCTTTCGCTAATCTTCTCATCCATGGAGTTGATTAACCAAGCCATTACCATTGAATTCTGAGCATCCCAAGTCTGGAAAGATGAATCTGACTCTTCAGGTTTCTTGGTAGATCCATCAAGATAGCCATACTTGCATTTTCCTCGAATAACCATCTCCACAGATCGCGACCATGACAGGTAATTTTTTCTGTTGAGTTTATGATAGGTGGTTTGGAGAGAAGAATTATCTGAGTAAGGGACATGAACTGTGGCAGCCATCATTGGGGTTGGCTGCAAGGGGACCGAGGTCTCCGAGCCGTCATTCCCTTTGGTGCCGGTCATGGCCGTTCCCCAGGGAAACGTTGGAGGTCTGCCCGCCATAAAAACTGGGAAGAGGCGGTGTGGAAGAGTGCTGCAGCGCTGGACAGCGGTGCTGCAGTTCTAAATCGCTGAGAGCGTATATGGAGAGAAACAATATTAGAGAGAGAGGAGAGGAACAAAGACACGGTTAACAGGGAGCATCGTTACCGGCGCTCTGATACCATGAAGAAATATAGAAGAAAATTCTCCTCTGATAGTTTATTACGTGAAAGGCAAAGGCCTTTTATAGAGAAGCTTGACTACAGGGCTGTCAATGATTCTCCACAAATATAGAAACTAACAATTCCTTAATTTAAGGAAAAGATCACAGAATTAAAACTAGAGAGATAATAGGAAACAACCTTCCTTAACCCTTTATTTGGAAACAACCTAATAGGAACAAATCCCTAGAATTCTTCAACATTATGTTTATCTGATCATTTTCATGCTTTATATATATATATATATATATATTGTGTAAGCCCCAAAAATGCAGCCCAGATGTTGTTGCAGACAACATTGGGTTCTTAGTTCATCCAACACCCAAAAAAGGAGGGGGTGATGAGAACTTTACACCCCTCGTTGCATATAATCTGCCATTGCAAATTTAATCATCGAATAAGTCTAAAAAATGATCACAGATGGTATTGTGGATTGATTGATCCGAACTTACCATTGATTCAAAGCACAGGTTCTTTGTTATTTACAAGCTTTACTGTAAGGATAGGGGTCATCTCTCTGCTGCCCATCCTCTACATGTTATATTCGTATTTCCTATGCCCTCTGTCCTGAATGAGTTCTTAGTGAAATTAAACATTACCTTCCATCTAGAATTTGTTTTTTCTTTTTTTTCTGGGATTGCTACTTGAGTGCTTGTACTTGTACCCTACTAAAGACAAGATGTAGAAGAGTTTCATTTTCTTATGATGAACTTTCTTGTCACATTGGTTAGCTGGATTAGGTGACACAACTGCTAAGTAATCTTAGTAATCTGGTCATGTAGTTTCTGAATAAGATATATGCAGTTAGTTTAGCTTGATTTGATGCTGCTTCTTCTGCTAGGCTTCTGTTCTTGATTGAAATTTAAAAATTCAGTAGGTTTGATGCTGCTTCTTCTGCTAGGCTTCTGTTCTTGATTGAACTTTAAAAATTCAGTTGGCTGTATAGATAATCTATCAGCATCTGTGTGTAAGTTTCTAGAGTAGCTACCAGAAATATATGCCTCTTAATAGGCAGTCAAATGCGCTACTCAATTTGCTACACATAATCCTTCTTTTCACGTTTCTCCTTGCTCTGCAGGCGGCAGAATACCCGCACCACAAACCAGAGAGCGAAGACTATCATATGTATGAGGGGACCGCATACATGGAAGGTGAAGATGGAGAACTTTCATGGTTCAATGCCGGGGTGAGAGTGGGAGTTGGCATTGGCCTTAGCATTTGTCTGGGAATTGGAATCGGAGTGGGTCTTCTTGTTAAAACATACCAAGGCACCACCAGGAACTTTAGAAGGCGGCTACAGTAGTAATCCATGACATCTACCGTTTGCTGTTGTATCATAGCATATACCGGAAAAACTCACTTTTTTTATCCAAACTCCAAACTAGAATTGGTGTATATGACGTATCAGCGTCCCTGATGAGGCTCGTGTTTTGCTATTAAGTGCAGGGAGTTGATGGTTTCAATATTCTTCTCTCTTTTCATTGGGGTTTTGTTAAAATAAGCGGCCTTATACTCTTATTCCTGTGTATAATGATAAAAGCAGAAGCATCTCTTGTTCTTGATTTTCCAGGGGAAGAATCAAATAGCTAGTGCAATTCGCTGTTGTGGTCCGCATTTATGGAGATTATTTTGTTCTCTGAGGTGTTCATAGAAATGAAATTTTGGTAATGGGAAAGTCTTAGAAAACTTTATTACTGTTTTCATGTGGGTTTTGGCTTTGGTTCATATGTTTGTATTTATTTGTTAAAAAAGCAGGAGCTTTCATTTTGAGGGGTGATGTTTTAGTCCTGTTTTTCAGCTAGAGAACTAGATACAAGTTGGATATAGAGAATTTCTTTGTACTTCTGAAAAAAAAATAAATTAAAAAAAAATTGTCCAAAGTGGGCATTAAGTGATTTCTACATTATATTGTGATGGAGGCCAAGAAGTGCATGCATTGTCTAGCATACTTATTGCACAATTCATTGTCTTCCTGGCACGTTCGGTTTTTGATTTGTAAACTCTTGCTTAGGATTTAGGAATGAATATTAAAAAAAAAAAAAAATTAAAAAAAAAAAAAAAAATTATCACTTAGCAAAATATTCCTGAAATAATATGATTCAAGTTGCGAGTACTTGTACTAGATTGGCAAAAATTATAGACCCTGCACTTGCCAAGAGGCAAAGACAAAAATATCGGTACCGGTAGAGATTGTACCTCTATGTTAAGCTGGCCAGAGCCTCTCAAAGCTTTTCTACGATGTAATATTCTAATTTTAAGAAAATTTTGGAGAAGGTATATGATATCTATGGATATTTTATTTTGAAAATCATGGATTTCTACTCTAAAGCACAACTCCTTTTGTAGAAATCCGAATCAATGAGTGCTAAATAAAATAGGAAAGACACTTTGTAGTTTTTTTGTTTTTTTTCTAATCGAAGGACACTTTGTAGTTAAAACCCAAAGCAGCTTTTTATTCCCTTCAAAGGCGGAGATTCGAACTCTAGATCTGCTAAACTGAAGCTGCAACCGTAGTAGCGCGTCTTGCTTCTTCAAGAACTACGACCAACAACACTGATCTTTTTTCCTCTGAAAGAAACACTATTTTTATTCCTCTTAAGAAAAACACTATTTTATTCCTCTACATTTAAAAGTAATTCTTCATTAACTTAAATGACAAACTCTCTCCATTATTAATTTATTTGTTATTTGTTATCTTGGCCTAAATGACTAGATGGGTAACCAGTTCTGGACTTGAGGCATGTCATGCATCCTTATTCCCAAGCACAGCTATAGCCCCTCATTGTAACCAACCATTTTCAGTAGTGTTACAAAGAGCCAATAAAATACTCATCAATAGTCCTCTATTAATGAAAATTTTTAACTTTGGAGGGCCATAAAGTTAACACGACAATTTTTAGAGTCCAAAATTAATTCTTTAACCATTAACAACTGAAATTTGTGTTTGATAAAAATCATAAAAATTGATTCTTGAAGAATTTTTAAAGAAAAATTAGAAACAACTCAAAAATAACTTTAACTTTTAAATTGTGCGGTAATCACCTTAAAGTACAATTAATAAAACTTTCATAATAACCTTAAAATTAATACTTATATAATTATAATTTACCAAATACTCAACTTTTTATAACTACTATTTTTTTTTAGCACAGCTAACAATAATTTTTCACAACTCTACAGCACTACCAAACAGAGCCCTAAACAACCTTGGCGATTCTATTATCCATTCAAGTGTTCTCATATGTTAGCAGAGTAACAGTCAAAAGAGTCTAGTCAGGAGCTCAAGAAATTTATCAAGGAAACATCAAAAGCATTTCACGCTTTGATTCTCGAGTAGAGGTGAGAAATACCAAGTTATATACAGGGCACTAAGGTTTGATGCTCTCCAAACATCTGGGTAATATGCACAACTTTGGAGAATCATAAAAAGATCCAGAGTAAATAGACAAAGGGACTGGAAATTTATCCACCAGCACAACATAAAAAGGCACTGATTTCTATTCTAGTCAAGCCTGTCTTCCTGCGGGGGATGAGCTGCACGGCGGAACCAGGTGTTGAATGCAGTGATCAAGTGAGGGCAATCATCGACATCTCGAGTGGAGAAGCTGAGACACTGCTGCAACAACTCCTGGGCATCCGACATGGGAAGCGTGGAGATGATTCTCAGGAATGTCTCCTCCAACTCCAAGTAGAGTAATTTGTTACTAGGTGACAGAGGTGAAACATTTTCTTTGCATACAATCAGAACAGGGAGCCAATCTTTTACGAGCTTCTTTCGAACCTGTAGCAAGGAGAGAACAGAAATAAGAAAATAACCTTTTAATGCATTTAATCGATCTACCTCATTGCTTACCCCCCAAAAGATCATCAAACTAGTTAAAACAAAACACTCAATTCCCAACATTCAAACATAGCATTTCTAGTTAAGAAACAGATATCCGCATTTTCAACTAATAAACATAGCATTACACTGCTTTATCGCCAAAGTATATATCAATTTGGACAGGCCAAACTGCCGAAACGTAAGAACCATGCTAGGCACTACACTTGAGAGGAAAAAATTCTCAAAGATAAATGCTGAGCATTCAACTGTCAGTCCTATATAGCTGCATTTCCTTAATCATGCACTTTAGGCATTTCTTCATCATATACCCATAAATCTAATTTCGACCCGCCAAAAAGTCTAACCTAGAGGACCAAGCTAGGTGCTAAACTCAGAGGAACAAGTTCTCAAATTTATATGCCAAGCATGGCATTTCCTAAATTATTCATCCTAGTTGCAAGTTGCAACCAGATATACCAACGGATAATTTAAGCGGTTTCAATTGGTAAAACATAATTCTGAGGAAATATTCAACTACCGAAAAACCAAATAAGTTCATTCTCAATATAAAACATAAATTCTCACAAACAAATACGTATTCCCGTACCTGTCTAGCAGCAAGAATGCTACCGGCGGCGACCGCATTGGCGAGTCTACAGGTGCAGCGGAGCACGACCGCAGGAAGTCCAGGTACGATATTCCTCCACGCATCGTCACGAAAAGCTCTCTGCAAATCAGAAGTAAAGGAGGCCTGCTCGCTCCACTCCTTGACGGCAGCGTCGGCCACCTTGAGCTCGATCATCCTCTCCACCAACCACAGCAAGTGCCTGCCATTAGTCATCGCCGTGTGCAGATTCAGCCTCTGAATCGCCTCCGTCTCGTTATGGTCCCCTCGAAAGTCTGGGCTCGAATACTCCTCCAACGACTCCTTGACGATCTTCAGGCTCGCCTCGAACGCTCTCTCCAGCACTCTCTTGGCCGATTCCTTCGACGAGAAGTCCCTCAACAGCTTGGCCACGAACGCCTTGGCGACCGCCATGTTCGGATGGCTATGAATCGCAGAGACGATCAAACCGTGAAGCATTTCCTCGCAGGAATCATTCTTTCCGGGCGAAACCCTAGCGAGAAGCTCCTCCGACTCTTCTCCGCCGAGCAAGGGGATCAGATTCATAACTCTAACCTCCTCCTCCTCCGTCCACGGCACGGCCTCGAGGAATCGGACGCAGGACCGAACGCATTCCTCAAAAAGCAGTTCGAGCGCGACGGGAAGGAGATCGAGAGCCACCGACGCGCTATTAATCGTGTTGGAGAAATCTCCGGTGTAAAGAAGTTGGAGAACCGTGATTCCGGACTCGATCGTCAGCGGAACTCCCAAACTGATTCGGATGAAGTCGTCGGCGGAGTCTCCATCGCGGTCCTGGCCACTGCCGTCGCCGACGTCGCGATCGTCATTCCGCCATCGATCGGACAAGAGCGCGGCAAAGTACTTGCAGCGACGGAGGACGTGAGAGTGAAGGTAGAGGACGACCTCGGAGTCCGTGGCCGTGGACGGCGATTCGGGGTCCGACGACGATTCGAACGGCGACGGCTCGACGAAGAGGCGGAGGACGACGTCGGCCGATGAGGAGTCGTTGAAGGCGGTTTTGGCGGCGGAGAAAGGATTGGTAGAGGACGGAGATTGGGAGGCCTGGGTTAGGGTTTTGTTGGAGACGGTGGAGTCGATGATGACAGCAGCGGTGGAGGAGAGGCGGCGGGACGAGGCGGTAGAGGTCGTCGCTACTGCAGCGCCGGCGTTGATGGCGGTGTTGAGCACGCGCTGCCTCTTCTTGGTCATTTCTTCGTTTTCTCTCTGTTGTGGATTGTGGAAGGAAGATCTCTGGGAAGGAAATGAGAACGGGAAAATGGCGGAAGGATCTTTCCGGGAGGGACTGGAAGGAAAGACGAATGGATGGATTTGGGGATTTTTTAAATCTGATTTTTTGATTTGATGATTACTGATTGCGTATGGCGGAGGTGAACACGTGGGATTGTCGCGGGAGCGAGTTTCGTTCTATTTTCGCGGGAGACTTTTCTCTTACTCGGCGAGTGATTATGGATTTCGTTGTATTTACGGTACGGGGAGTGTTGATATGAGGACATCGTTATGGAGTTTATGGCGGGGGCTCTCCTCCTCCAATCTCAACCGTTTACTTTGCATCGTGTTATCTGGAACCAAACCAGATACTCAGACAGTAGTTTTTCTTTTTTGAAATTTTTGAAATTTTTTGTCATTTTTACTTTACCGGGAGAATTAGAGAAAGACTCTTTTTTTTTTTTTATTTCACTCCAAGTTGGATTTAGTGTAGGTTTCTTTCTTTTCTATTTTTTATTTATTTAAATTAATTACAAAAATTTCTCTTAAATTATATCTTTTGTAATACTCTATTTCTCAATCTTTAAAATATAATATTTACTACTCATGAACGATAAAATATTAACAAAAAAGATCAATCTTTTAAAAAATTAACTTTTTTTACACATGTTGCATAACGAATAACTGCTGTCAAACAATCTAAAATACAATTACTATTTTATCCATACACTCTAAATTTTTAATTATAATTTAGATGTAATATAAAAAAATAAAAAAATAAATCTTCTTCACTCCCCAATGAAAGTAAATTCCCCATCTCACAAACATATTTCTTTTTTTCAAAAAAGATTTTTTTTATAGTTTTTTTTTTACTTATTTTTAACGTAAAAAGAAATGGTCGATAAAAACTCCATAAATCATTTAAATTCTAAAAAAATTCACAAAGTTTTTAACTTATATTCAATTAATAATAGATGTTTCGTAATTAAAAGTTCATATATAAATTAAATTTGAATTTGAGTTAAATTATTTTTAAGTTAAAATTAAATTTTAAACCATAAAATTATTAAATTACCTCTAAAATAACTAATTAAATGTCCATTTTTGTTAAAAATCTAACATAGAGGTTTTTCATTAATGTTTCATTGTTTAGAAGGAATAGATTTACATTTTAGAGATTGAGAAGTAAAGTCTTACAAGGAGTATAACTCATGAACAATTTTTGAAAATCATCTTTTTTTTTTTTGCTTGAAATAGACAATATAGTGTTTTGTTTTTTGTCAAGGAAGAATATAATGATAGATAAAAAGTTATTCTAATTTAACTATTTAACAAAATTATTTTCGCTATACAGTATGACAATTTAAACTTGTTATTTTATTAACCACATTGGATACCTTTTTAATTGAAAAATGTCAATTAAATAACATATAGTTTGTTGACGAAAAAATTCATGGGACATGTGCTTAATGACATTAAATAAAAAAAAAAAGAGTAGTTATATTTGTATCTAAAAATTTATAGATGTCCTTATTAATTAATGCTCATTAAATAAAGAATTGAAAAATCTATTCTTTTATAGATATAATTTTTATAATACCTAATTTAATTCTTTCATCCTCTTAACTAATTTTAATCTTAATTTAATTTATAAAATAATATATACTCTTTCACTATTAATATTATATTTTAAAAAAAAATTAAGTGTAATTCTCTTTACCTTTATCTATCAATTGTCTTTGTTTTCCTCCTTCTCCTTCTTTTTATTTGAATTAGCAAATACAAGAACAACTCTTTGGGTTTGATCATCACAATTAGGCAAAACTAACGAAAACTTGTTCTTCGTTACTTGTTTTCAGAATAAATTTGATTTAGTATAGAACAAAAGGTGAGAGTATGTTTTTTTATTTGTTTGAAAAATACGTTCTAATTATAGTTAATTTGAGTGTATGCGTTTTTATTTTTTTTAAAAAATATTATTTCCATTTATAATTAATGTGGGGTATGTTAATGGGTTTTAATGTAATTTTAATAAGAGGAAAATTGTAATAAATATTTATAGTTTGAATTGGTGGGAGCATTAATGAATTTGGTGATTGCAAATATAATTACTCATAAGAAAAATGTTAAAAGTTGGGAGATTAATATAATGAACACGATGAAAGATTCAGAAAAAAAAAAAAAAAAAAAAAAGAAGAAAAAACCACATAATCAAAGAATAGCGATAGACATTAAAAAGAGGAAATGAAAAAGGAGCGGACAACGAATTTTTAGAGTGATTCAATCCTTAATAAGTCCTGCATCCATCAGTCAATTTTATAATGATATATAAGAAAAAGATTACAGAGGTCACCATTTGGGTTCCCTCTATATTATCTATTTTCTCCCATCAGTCAATTTCATGTTTTCATTATGCTCTCCCTTTGTCCAAAAGAACACTTCTCATTTCTGGAGTTGTATTTGTAAACCTTATAAGATTGTAGTATTTGCACTTATATACAAGTTTAAGGAACAATAAACAGTGTGCCAAGGGATGAGGATCAACAAAACGGCGATGTTAAAATTTCTCTAAAAATAAAGAATTTGATAGATGAGAAACATCGTAGCCAATGAGCTTTATTATGTCAATGCTTGTCTCACCACACCACATCCCGCACAACAACGATTGATTTGATGACTCTAAAATCTTATAAGTTACAATACAGTGCGTAATGCATATTTCTAACTAGTTAATAGGATTTTTAATATTTTTCACGTTTTTAATTTATGCCTTCTAAAATAAAATCTTAGCTCCGTCATTGACAAGATGAATTTCTTATTCTTACGTGTGGCTTTGTTTAGGATTTCCTTCTCGCACGACCGTATTTTTTTGTAATTCACACGCTTCTTGTATGGACAATATGATGATAAATTTTTAATTATTATTAACATAAATGTAAATACAGGATAAAAAATGCAATCCTAGATAATAAGCACCGGAGGCTATTTATTTCAAAGCGTTGTTTAATTATTTTAGGGTCTTTTCTAATAGGCTAACATATCGGTAGACTAAGTTTTCTATCCGTTAGATCTACATAAAATTACGTAAAGTTAAAAAATATACAAATTTAACGGTTAAAAAAATCTAATCTATCAATATGTCACATACCAAAAAATCTCCTAATTATTTTACCCCACTAAAACAAAGTGGATAAGGTTAAAGATTACTAGATTATGATTATGGATCAATCCATTAGTTGTGTCTAGGGGGACAACCTTATCCTTAATGATATATATTATAGGGAGAAAGAGGGAAATAGGCTAAGACTTGAGATGAATTAAAATTAATAGGTCAATAGTTTAAATAAGTTAATAAATAGGCCAAATTACTGTTTTCGTCCATAACTTGTTTGGTTATAAACCATAACTTGACAAGTTATTGTCCATAATTGTCCATAACTTGTCTGGCTATAAACCATAACTTGACAAGTTATGGCATATTAATTTCTATAACTAAAAATTAGCCTATATACTTTCTTAAGCTTTTCATATTGGCTTATTTTCTACTATTTCCCTATATTATATTCATAGGGTCCAATACGAGACTGGGACATTCTCAGGAGCGTGAAATGAACGCTCCTTTAAGTTGCGATACTGTGGGTGCGTTTGGAATTGTTTCCAAAATGATTTTGTTTTCTGTATGAAAATAGAAATGAAAACGTTTTCATTTTCATTTTAGAATTATTTCTGAAATGCGTTTGGTAGTTTTATTCAGAGATTGATTTCAGTTTTAAAAGAAACTGAAACTACGTTTGGTGGTTTAATTTTTGAAAACATGTAATAATATTTAAATTAATAGTATATTGAGTATATAATAATATTAAATATATTAAATAATAATATATTAAATAAATATATTAAATGAATCGCGGGGGGGTGGCGCGCAGTTGCAGACGCCGGCTGGATGAGCGACGGTGGACGTAATCCTACGTCTTCTTCGGTTAGAGAAGAGAGAGAAGAAAAAAAAACTGAAATCCATTTTCAGAAAACGAAAACGTGAAAATGAAAACGTATTTTTTTCATTTTTAATTTTTCACAAAAAGACAAAAATGTTTTTATTTTTTTTTTTTCTAACACAAATTTCACCAAACACATTTTTCATTTATGTTTTTAATTTTTTACTTTGAAAAACGTAAAAAATAAAAATAAAAAGGGTAACAAACAGGGCATGTGATCACTTCTACCTGAACTCCAGACCCTCAGAGATTCAGAGGCAAATTTATTGGGCTTTTACGGGTCTCTTTGAGCCCACACAGGGCTCCAAGGGCAAGTATTAAAGTTAAGTTACTTGGGCTTTGTTCTTCAAGTTGTGTTGCGTTTCTTTCATATATGAAAATAAATAATAATAATAATAATAATAATAATATTGAAAGCTCGTACTAAGCATTTTTTGTACCAGAGAGTATTTTGTCCTACACAGAACTACAAAGAATTTCATGATAGAGTACAAAGAAATTTCATGATAGAGTACAAAGAATTCCATGATATAGTATGAAAAGATTCGATTTTGATGAGAATCAGTTTTATAACTGTTAAATTTTTTTTATTTTTTTTAATTTTTTTTTTTTTTTTTTTTTTTTTTTTTTTTGCTAATCAAATTCTCATATATCCTTTTATTCTTATATGATTCTGAATTCTTATCATTTAATAGTTATGCCGTATTAGTGTACCCTGTTACAATTCTTCAAACAAAATTATATCCAACAAACATGGGTGTGGTTAGATCAATATATAGTTAGTTAAATACTTATATTGAAGAAACTTGAAGCGTAGTAACGTACCTTTGAAACAATAAAATAGACTTCAATCATAGTCATGCAGATACCACGATGCCTGGTCCTGACTCCTGAGTTTTTCTAGTACTCCTGGTCTCTTATTAGTGAGAAATTTACTAGAATGACAATCCAAGAGTGAAATTGATAAAATGATTTTTTTTATTTTTTATAAAGAATGATCAACTGGTTTTTTTTTTATCTTATAAAAAGTAGTCGTTCAATAGTTATTTTGTAAATAAAAATTTTTAAAAAATTATTTTACTAATAAAACTTTTTATTGAGTCATTTTTACAAATGCCTCCTCATTAGCTGCACCGAAAAAGAAGAAGAAAAAAAAAAAAAAAAAAAAAACCACAATCTCATTCTCAAGCGTTGCGTTTCCTTAAATTTTGTACCAAAATAACCAACAGAAATTTGGTTGGGGCATTGGATGGTATATGGTACAGAGGTGGGATCCTTTATCCTTACAGTTGT